GGCCGGAACTCCAGACTCACGAATGCTTCTAATAACAGTTCCCCAAAACGATTCCTTTTTTCAAGTTCACAGAGTAACCATTAACATTCAATACTCTTACAGGCACTTCTTTTCCGACGCGTATTAAAGTCTTCCCTACTACAATTCCTCGACCGACCTCTTTGTCATCAATTCTCGGCTCCAGAAGCATTATACTTCCATCTTCTGATTTACAATCCAAGAAAGCCTTTAATATCATCTCGCTGTGTTCCGGTATCAAAGCATCTTCTGTTAGCATTACACGAATATTCTTTTCTTTTGATCGATGCAACACGACTTCTTCTCCATTTACTCTCAATATTCCTTGTTGAAAGTTTAGTTCAAATCCTATAGAGTTCATAATGTCCATGCCTACAATAACTTCATCTTCAATATCTGCTACTAATGCTCGATGTTTAAATTTCGTGTTTCCTTTGACCATCGTGATGTCCACTTCTCCATGAACAGTAGCAGTATCTCCTGTTGCAGTACGTAGTCGCCGATTGGTAGATTTTATCTTCGACTTTTCGACAATATCTGGCCGAATAATTGTCTTCGTTGCACCTGTATCCAGCAGCAGCACATGTAACTTTCCATTAATAAAGCCATCCACAAAAACGCTGCTGGACTGATGTAGAAGAGATGCGACACGTTCGATATCCTCTGGGGCATGCTGGTTACAGGTCGACGGTTGCCCCTTTTCCTCGACCCTATCTAGTTTTCTGACTGAGAAGAAGTCGGCTCCACCTGGCTTCTTTTACAACGACTTCGTATATGTCCTAGCTTTCCACATCTCCAACACCGGATTTCCTTCTTATCTGGTAGATTCTCTTTAAGGACTCGTCTGATTGCTTCAATTATACTAGGTTCCTCCTCCTTTTCTTCTTCGACTTTCCTTATTCTAGGCTGGCTCCTGCAGCTCTGCTTTGCCGCCTCGAATTCCAAAGCTCGGGCCAATGCATCAACCAGTTGGCTCGGACGAGCCAACGTCAGAGCCTGTCTTGTATCGTTGTCTCGAAGTCCATCCAAAAAGGCTTGAACCGCTAATCGTTCCATAACGGTCGTTGGAGTAGCTGGATATGCCAGCCGGACCAAGCGTGCAATATCAGCCTCGAATTCTTGTAACGTCTCATTGGATTTCTGGCAGCGGTTCTTTAGTTGGGAATGGTACACATGTTCCAGATGTGTCTGGCCATATCGCAGTTCCAGGTGTTTCACCAAGGCTTCGTAATCTTCTTGTTCGTTTGGAGAAAGTGTCTGCAAGATGTCCGTTGCATCTCCGCGTAAAGCAAGAGTTAATGCTGTAGCCTTTTCCTCTGGTAGCCAGCCATTTGCTTTTGCTGCTGCCTCGAACTGAAGGATATAGTTGGTCCAAGAAGTTTTTCCATCGAACTGAGGTGGTTTCATCCGTACTCGGCTTCCCTCCGGCACTGCTCCTGGTTCCGTCAGCATCATAGGTAAATTTACAGCTTTCAGTTTACTATTTATTTCTCTAATTGTGACCTCCAATTTCTCGTTCAATTTTTCTTCTCTCGTATCCAATTCCTTCCTTACGTCATTCAATTCCATCCTTACATCGTCAACTTTCTGTCCTACTTTCTCTTCTAATTCATTGGCATTTTCTAGAATCTTCTGTTCCAAATATTCTTTTAAATTTTTGTAATTTTCTAGCATTTTCTGTTGAAAATCGTTGGAATTTTCCAGCATTTTCTGTTGCAAATCATCCTTTAAATCGTTGACATTTTCCAGAATCTTTTGTTGTAAATCGACTTTCAAATCGCTAGAATTTTTCAGCATTTTCTGTTGTAAGTCATTAGAATTTTCCAACATCTTCTGTTGTAAATCGATTTTCAAATCGCTAGAATTTTCTTGCATTTTATGTTGTAACTCGTTAGAATTGTCTAGCATCCTCTGTTTTAAATCGTTTAAATTTTGCAACATTAAATGCATATCACACGGGCCTTCAAATAAATACGTATCTGGATTTTCACCTTCCTGTTCCAACGCTTCTCGAAGCCGCTGCTGCAACACATTCTTTTTCCCAGTTGTATCACACTCCCTTTCTTCTAGCTCTCGTTTAAGGTCCGCCACTTTTAAGTCCATTAACGAAACCATTTTCGCGAAGTTTCACACTAACCGCACTCCTGACACCAATTGTAACGTTTTTAACTGTTCGTAGTGTGAATTAAAAACACGCACTGGTTAATTAACGAACTAAACTATTTATTTAATAACTTAACTACACTTAAAACACTATAAAAACACTATACACTTAACTACTAATTATTTATATATCACTATTGTTCAAGAGTCTATTTATTTGCACTTATATTTATTTATTTCGCCGCGAGTACCAAATCTTAACTGACTGCCCTGTGATGCTCCGTTTCTTATATATTCAGCGCCAAGGTCTTCTGGAACATTCCAGCGAGCTCCACACTCTCGATTGTTCGAGCGCTGAGTCACCGGCGATGACTCATCGGCGATGAGTCATCACTCCGATATCCAGAGCGGTACTCGCTACAATACAGTTTGTCAGAGCAAGGTTGACACATTAGAACACCTCCGCGAACATGTCACTGCAGCGTCAGATAAAATCCGAAATCATCCGGATATGATAGCAAGAGCGACACATCATAATCGCTGTCAACTTTGTGTGAATAATAACGGCGGGATAGTTGAAAATTTATTATGATTTTGTGGAACACCTAAAAATAGCTACATGAGCCTCAATCGACGTAAAAAGTGAAAGGTAAAATTTAAAATCGACGGGAAAACCACGGAAACCTCGAAATACCTAACAATAAAAAGTAAGTATTGTTTTATTTAAAGTACATAAAAATATACAAAACAAAAAACAATTACTTATCAACAAGTATTCAATGATACCACAAATGTAAATTTTTAATAAATGAGTATTGTCCACTGTGCAAGCATATTTTAGTCATTTGTCGTGGGTCAGGAACAACCAGTGGCGGCTCAACATTTCTACTTTACATATAAAAATTTTAATGATTTTTTTATAAAAAAAATCGCACTAATGCAAAAATGACACGAAAAACTTATTTGGTGACACCATGCATGTATATTAATAATTTTCCTTAGGATAGCTAATTTTAGAAAAACAACATTTGCTGCAGTCGTGTTTATTGATTTGATTCTTTGCACTTGAAATATATGTATTTTATACAAAGTCTACATAAAATATATTATATAAAATTATATGGTATAAAAGTGTATAATTATATAATGTAAAACAAGTTAAGTACCTATAATAATATAAAACAAGTAAAGTAAAGCTGTTTTCGCGATGCCAACCCCGAACTAGTTTTGGCATCCTACGCATGCGTATTTGAAATTTATATTCTAAAAACAAACTTATATAATTTTTTTAAATTAGCACCTCTAAAACAATGTTTTTTCTTAAATATACAATACCTATATTGTGCTGCTTAGAGCTTTAGGATAGCTCCCCAATGGGTGCATTTTCAAGCCACAACCTGTGCAGGAACTGATACAAAGTATCGCTAACAGAAACCTTATAAGGCGTTGGGTTCAACGTACGTTTTATATCAGGCCTGAGAATTTTCAAGCAGTTCATGACGTTCTCCCTTATTTGCTGCAGATTCGGTAGAGGTTGCGTTATGACTCCATTGTGCCAGTACAAGTTTAACAAACTCTCAACGCGGCTGGGTATGACAAAGGCCCTCTTCGATTCTTGAAAAGGATGTCTGCAAAGCACCTTCTCGTTTATTTTCGGAGGTTCTTCCACTGAACGTTGCAATAAATCGATTAAAGCGAAACCAGTCTCACTGTACAGTCTGTAGGCGTTCTTCTTACCGGGTATCGTAACTTTCTCGACGTCATGACTCAGCTTTATTCTGGGGTGCTGGTTGATTTCCACCATTTTGTAAACGCAACCCAGAGCAGGTTGCTTCTGACAGGTCACCAGATGTGTGCCTATACCAAACGAGTCTATACTGTGACCTTGATCGTTGAGACTTAATATGGTCTCCTCGTTTATATCGTTGGACGCCATTACCATCAACTCGGCGAAATGCGGGACATCATATTTAACAGCGATCTTCTTGAAGTAGTCTCTGGCCACCAAAGATATATACGCCAGATCGCCGCTGTCCAACCTAACCCCCAACGCTCTATACCCCAAATCGTTCAAGGCCAAGGCAACGGCGCAAAAATTCACCAACCCGATTTTCTTAACGTCATACGTGTCAATTAACGCCATAAAACTATCTGGATACGCAACGGCAAACGAAATTAACGCCGTTGTTTGTTAAAAATATAAAAGAATTTACATTAAATATTTTAAACAATTTTTTTAAGATTTCATTAATTTTATCCCCATATCTGCAAACCTAATAACAAGAAAGTTATAGGGTATTTTTGATTGACGCGCATTTGCCAAATGCCAAGGACATGGTATAGCAATTTTACTCAGAATTAAAAAATGTAAAAATATATGGGGTGTTCTATGTGAAATAACAAAATTGATGTGTCATTTTGTTCAAAATATTTTAGAAAAATAGACCTAAATGGATTATAAACTTTTAAAATTTAAAATCGATAACTTTTTCCGTTCTTCAGAAACTTCTAATGGGCCACGAACGTGAAACGCCCTGTATATATAAAAAGTTTTCCTTAGGATAGCTAATTTTAGAAAAACAACATTTGCTGCAGTCGTGTTTATTGATTTGATTATAGCACTTGAAAAATATGTATTTTATACAAACTCTACATAAAATATATTATATAAAATTATATGGTATAAAAGTGTATAATTAAAATGTAAAACAAGTTAAGTATAATAATGTAAAACAAGTAAAGTAAAGCTATTTTCGCGATGCCAACCCCGAACTAGTTTTGGCATCCTACGCATGCGTATTTGAAATTTATATTCTAAAAACAAATTTAGATAACAATGTTTTTTCTTAAATATACAATAAATTGTGCTGCTTAGTGCTTTAGGATAGCTCCCCAATGGGTGCATTTTCAAGCCACAACCTGTGCAGGAACTGATACAAAGTATCGCTAACAGAAACCTTATAAGGCGTTGGGTTCAACGTACGTTTTATATCAGGCCTGAGAATTTTCAAGCAGTTCATGACGTTCTCCCTTATTTGCTGCAGATTCGGTAGAGGTTGCGTTATGACTCCATTGTGCCAGTACAAGTTTAACAAACTCTCAACGCGGCTGGGTATGACAAAGGCCCTCTTCGATTCTTGAAAAGGATGTCTGCAAAGCACCTTCTCGTTTATTTTCGGAGGTTCTTCCACTGAACGTTGCAATAAATCGATTAAAGCGAAACCAGTCTCACTGTACAGTCTGTAGGCGTTCTTCTTACCGGGTATCGTAACTTTCTCGACGTCATGACTCAGTTTTATTCTGGGGTGCTGGTTGATTTCCACCATTTTATAAACGCAACCCAGAGCAGGTTGCTTCTGACAGGTCACCAGATGTGTGCCTATACCAAACGAGTCTATACTGTGACCTTGATCGTTGAGACTTAATATGGTCTCCTCGTTTATATCGTTGGACGCCATTACCATCAACTCGGCGAAATGCGGGACGTCATATTTAACAGCGATCTTCTTGAAGTAGTCCCTAGCCACCAAAGATAAATACGCCAGATCGCCGCTATCCAACCTAACCCCCAAAGCTCTATACCCCAAATCGTTCAAGGCCAAGGCAACGGCGCAAAAATTCACCAACCCGCTTTTCTTAACGTCATACGTGTCGATTAACGCCATAAAACCGTCCGGAAACGCAACGGCAAACGAAATGAACGCCGCTAACTCCCCATCGTTTACTTCCGAAAGCACAACGTTAAAAATATCGTATATTTTCTCCCTCCACGTCAACGACATTTTCAGGAAGTTCTGTGGTTCCCCGCCGCCCTTCGCCGATATAAAGTGATGATTCAGCTCGCCGATACTGTTAAACGAGGTTATGTACGCATGCGCGTGCGTGCCCTTCACAGGAATGTTGAACAATTTACCCGCCAGTACGTTACTGGTCCCATCAAAACCCCCGATGTATGCATACTTCGAAGCTGATAGCCCCCCGTCAGGTCCCTGGGCTCTACGTAGACCAAACTCGAATAATTTCAAATTTCCAGCGGCCATTCTGTACCGAGCTGCATTTGTAGCCATAAGACTTGCATAGTTGACCAACGTTAAAAGCGTTGTTTCCAATAATTGTGCTACAATGAGTGGTCCCTCGATTCTCAGCAAGGGAACTCTAGGAAAAACAACAGTACCTTCGTTTATAGCGTACACAGATATGTCCTTCGCTGTCAGCGTGCCCAAGTATTGAAAAAATTCATCTTCAATCGTTTTCGGTAATATTTGCCTTATGTATTCTATGTCGCTCTCAGAGTAGCTGAATTTTTCTATGAACTTCAAACACTCCTCCAAACCAGCGAAAATCGTGAATTCACCACAAAACGGACTTTTCCGGAAAAACAAATCAAATACAGCTTGACACTCAATTTTTCCGGACTTCCAATAAGCATACGCCATAGTTATTTGGTATAAATCCGTCAGTAAGGGTTGAATAATACTGTTTTGCCCCATTTTTCGTTCAATTACATCACTATTAACGATTGCGGACATTTTTATCATTTATAAAGGCTAAAATATCGAAGTAACAATTGGGCTTCATAACCTAAAATGTAGATGTCAGCAAAAAATCAACAAAACACTTGGCAACCCCGTTTGTTTATGTCAATATTAAAAAGCGGATCTGTATGCATTAAGTAATATCATTTTCGGCAAAATGTTTCTCATAAATTAATTGAGGGGTATGATAATTAACAATTAAAATGAACTTGTTAAAAAACATATATTTAACTCCTTATAGCTTCATACCTATATTATAGGTATGTATAAAACATATACATTTTGTTCTTTATTGCAGATGAGGCTTTTTTCAAGGCAGCTGCACTTATACCCTTTTATTATATGGCCCTTAATATTAAGTACCTACATTTATAACAACTTTTTAATAAAAGTAATAAAAGTTTTAATCAATATAAATCAGGTCTCTAAAAATGGCAGACGTCACGTCAGTTTTGAAGATAGTTGCGGCAACACTGCATCTGGAAAATACAAGAATGATAACAGCGATAAACACTTGAAAAACCTGTTAATTTAAAGGCAAGAAATCACAAAAATAGTAACAATTATAATTCCTTGCCAATAGTTTGCAGTTATGTTAACATAAACAATATAAATTATAACCTTAAAAATGGCCCGGCAACGTAAAACCACCGAGAAAAAAAACGATAAGGGTACAAATAGTAGTAGCAGTAATGGTAGTAATTATGTGGATACGAAAGCAAAACCGGCTACAGGGATTTTTATGTTTTGGAAACAAATAATTGGGTGTACGGTATTGTTTATCGCTGTTGTTTTTGGGTATTTGGGATATTTGGAAACAAGGGTTATAACACCTTTTGACAGTGCAAAGGTAAGATAAATAAATAGATAAATATTTTTGTATTTATGTATATCATTTAGGTTGTTGCCAAAAGTGGTTTGGATGTCCCATTGTTGTATTGGGGTTCTTACCGTCCCGGGACTTACTTTGGTTTAAAAACTAGAGAGGCAAATTCTTTAGTCAATGGGTTAATGTGGTATTTTCCCAGAACTCTTAGGCCTGGAGGTGATGGTATTAGGTAATTTATATTAAATACTTAAGACTTTTTGACATCAGAAATTTCTTATGGCATGTATTAGGAAAGCTTTTAGTAAGGCAGATAGGAGAGGCGTTATCAGAACGTTGAAATTGTGCCAAATGTGAACCAAAAAATGGCGTAGTATTTAAGCACATTTGTAGGTTATGTTAAAGGTAAAACGTCAAAACCAGTTTGCCATGGCAACCATACAGTTGCTAGGCACTCGATTACCGTTACCAGGGACGTTATTTTCCTTAGTTACCGACCATAAGACATTCTGAATGCCCATACTAAATCATTTTTCGAAATTAGTAAAAAAAAAAACGCCAATTTTTTTGTTTAGACATTGGTGTGAACAAAATGACAATCTTAGTAAATATGGATGGAAAAAACATGATGGGTACAATTTTGGAGTGCAAGAAATTATTGATGGGCCTTTTAAGTTAACTACATCTTTTGTAAAAAGGCCTGGAGGAAAACATGGAGGGGATTGGACAGCAAGAGTAGAAGTTGATGTTTTGGTATGTACAGTAAGAGAAAAGGTGATGCACTTTTTTATTGTGTAAAGTGCATTACCATTTTCTTTGACTGTACTATGCTCCACATCAAAAAGTTTCACTTTGACATTTGAATAAGAAATGCTGTCAAATAATTAAAGTGATGTATCATAACCTCAATTATTTGACAGCATTTCTTATTCAAATGTCAAATTGGGACTTTTTTGTGTGGAGCATAATACATTTTATTTTAATTTATCAAAGCTGTAGTGTTTTTTAAACTGTTTATTCAAATTTAATTTTTTTGTACTTATCCTGCACTATTTGCAATATTTTTAATGGATTGTCAAAACTTTAAAATTGTTTTTCTAGCCTGAATATGCATCTCTTAAAAACGAAGAAGCAGCATTGCTGTGGTATACTGCATTGGATGAGTATACAAAGGGATTTATTAAACCTACGAACAGTGCCACCAAAATTACGGGCGTTAGAGGGGAAACCTCTGGTTTGGGTCAATTTGTGATTAAAATATTTAATAATTCGGGTAATTATCAATATCTTGACGTTTAACATGTTTAAACTTTGTATTTTTGACAACAAAAAATGTTTAACCCTCCGTTACTCGCGCGGCGTCTATCAGACGCCACTGAATCTATTAGTTATAGTAACTTTTGAAACGAGATAAATAGGGACTTCCCCGGCCATGTACCTTTCTTAAGTGGATAGTAGAGTAATCTGCGCTCAAAAAAAAAAAAAAAAAAAAACAATAATTTAGTAGGTAGATTTAACATTTTCAAATTGTTTTTTAAACTTTTTTATTTGCATTTTTAGTAATAAATAAATGTTTGAAAGAAATAGTCTTGATGATTTCATTAATATAAAATACAATAACCTTCTAATAATTATTTTATAACGCAAGAGTCTCTCAGACGCCACGCGAGTATCGATGTTACGAAAACTGGCGCGAGTAACGGAGGGTTAAGTTGTCAAAATAAAAGTGATGTTCTCAGTTCTTTTATATTGAAACACAGAGGATGATACTGTTTTTTTTTTCTAGGAGTAATAGAAAATGAATCATTCCTTAGTACAGAAGCTCCTGGACTGCATTTACTTAAGGAAACTGTGATAACTAATTTAAGATTGATGTCAAGTAAACCTGATGGTCCAAAGAAAATTGTTTTGGCTGGAGAAACTCAGCCTTTAGGAGGTTTGGAGAAGGTAAGTTGTTTTATTTCGATCAATGTTTAAATTTAAAATGTTTTTAATGAATTATCATTACAATTGCATTTATTGCAGGGTTAAAAAAAATCGGGTTTTTTATGAAACCCAACCCACTGGGCTTTTTTTGGGTTTTATTGTTTTTTTTAATTGTATACAGATTTTAGTGAAAAAACATCTAAAAATAAATATGAAGTTCATCCAAATTTCTATAAAATTATTCGATTTTTAGATTAAATTGTCGAATAATTTGAAGATCACACGTAAAAAACGATCTAAGTCAAAATATTTATATGGTTTTTCAATCAAATAAAATATATTGTTTTAAAGTAAATAATATGTACTAAATACCAAATAAAATAAAATAAAACAATTTAATTTTAGTCTTTAGGTTAAATTTTTTTAAATAAGGGGTTTTCAAATAAAATATCTTGTTTTAAAGCCATTTATAAGTTAAATGTTTTCAATAAAATAAAATATCCCGTTTAAAAGCAAATGTAAACAATTAAATGAAAAATGTTGTTAACATTAATATTGCAAGAAAAATGTAGGTAAACAACATATTTTTTCTAAATTTATTTATTACAAAATTGTATTTAAAAATAATTGCAATTTAGGTTAAGCCAAATAAAAACCTTAAATTAGCCAAATAAAAACCTTAAATTAGCCACCATGGAGCCAACGTTCAATAAAACAAACTAAACTTGTAAAAAAATATTTTATTATGGTATGGTATAAGCTGTTTTTTTAATGCTTTTGGGATGTTTCAATCCCGGGCCATTTCATTATCAGCAGCATGCTGCAGTTTGAGTTTCTGTTATGGACTGTCCTTAAAGATCATTAGCTTCCTTGTCTTGGCACATTTCCTGCACAATGCAAAAAGAAAGATTTAATTTTGATTAGTTTTGTTTTTCAAATTTTATTTTAATTTCTTACACTGCAGTACTTGATTTTTCAGAGTTTGAGTTTCTGTTACTGGCTGTCTTGAAAGATCATACTTTCTGGTTTTGTCCTATTTCTTGTACACTAAAAAGATTAATATTGTTTTTCCTAATTTTATTTTAATTTCTTACAAAGTACTTGATTTCCCTATTGATAGATCAGCTGTTAAGTGTAAAGTTGAAACCATATCCACTTTAAAGAATTTTGTATGGAAATGTAGTTTGTATGTTTTTCAATCCAATTTTCCTTCTTATAGCAACTATCTTCGAAGTAAATGGAACAAATACAAGATACAAAACAAACAAAAATATTAATCTAAAACATTAACCTAATCTGTGTATCTTTTATAATCTGTGCTGTGTATACAAAAGGAAAGTATGTCTAAAAAAACTACTGCTATTTAATTGTTTTTAAAATAAATCTACTTACTATCCTTAACATGACATTGTATTGGATTTTCAGGCTTTTTTCCTTTGGCATTGTTTTTACAGATTTTTACTTGGCAGGTAGAATTTTTTTATACTTAAAAAACTTTAAAATAGCTTAAAACAAGTAACATCAAAATGTAAATAGTCAATATGGCGGCTAATGGGTGCTCCCACCTCTTTCTCAATATGATGGAGTGGTGGAAACAGATGCGCAAGAATATAGCTTGTTTTCTTGTACCATGGTTTCTAAATTAGAATTTCCAATACATAAAAGCGGTTTTAGTTTGACAAGCGCTTTATGTGGATTTTTACAAAATCAGTACCATAGAATGACAGCTGCACTGTTAAGCGAAAATGACTCATCTATAATATTAAAAATTGCAGATAAGTCGGAAATTTAAGAAATTTTAAATTTATTGTGTTTTAGAGGGAGCCAAACTTTATTGTCACCCAAATTCAGGGAAGAGTCCCATTTTCAATCGATATTGTATACGAGTCCGGCAGTTTTTACGATAGGCCTGACACTTTTTCAGGGGAAAGTTACACCCAAGCTCTAAACTGGCATTCGACCAGGTTTGGTCAAAAATTCGAAAATATCTTTGGGCTTCAGAAAAAAGGGTAAAATATTAATCATAATTTTATCTTTACGTCGATGTTATTTTGAGAGTGTTATTGTAGATTTAAGGATGATGACATTGAATTTGCTCAATCAACTTTAAGCAATACGGTGGGTGGAATTGGTTACTTTTACGGCGCTTCTAGAGTGCAAAGTTTTTACAATGCTGACCCAGTTTATTATTGGAACGCTCCCCTATACACTGGTGTCCCTTCCAGGTATGTTAATGTCGAGTATAAGGGCCCTTGTGGAATTTTTTCTCTGAAAAAGGTTTAATAAGTAAAAGTCTTCCTTTCTCCTAAAAACTCAAAATAAGACTTCTTAAGTCGGAAAAAGTCTGAATAAGTCGTAGTAATTCAGACTAATAGCAAGATTTGGGAGTCTTTTAGAAGAGTTAATAAGACTTTTAGCAGAGAAATGGTACACTGTTAAAAAAATTTAATGTAATTTTACTAAACAGGTTTAGGAAGTTTTTATGCACCACAATATAGTAACAATAAAACTCAGTTTTGTAAATTCACTACACGATTCATTACAACTAAAATTACAAAACGTTTGTTGAAATTCACTAAGCATTTATTAAAAATTTGTTCAGTAACATTACTATACAGGTATTGCAATTTTGCTAAAAAAAATACTAAATATGTTTAGTAATTTTAAAATGGTGTATTGTAATTATACTATACAATTCATTTCAACACAGTTTAAGAAAATTACAAAATATATTTTACAATTTTACTGAACTGAAGAAAATTCTTTTCGCAATATTACAATACAAATATTGTTATTTTGTACAACAAATTACACTAAAAATATTTTGTAATTTACGAATGATGGTATTGTAATTATACTACGAAAAAAAAACCTGCAATTTTCTTAGTTTGTTCAAGAAACTTTCTTGACCCATTACTGTAAAGATTAAAAAAAAATTGAACCTTCACCTCGCCAGAGTTTTTGTTTTAAGTGCGTTCCACCAACTTCAAATAACGACAGACAGATAGACCTATTTTGGGTATTATCAATGTCGGGCAATTTGGTGTATTGGAACACACCAAAAACGAAATACCCTGAGCTTATATACTTTCTACCTAAGTCAACCGAGGCGAGATGTAAGAACTTCACGTGATTGCCGCAACCGGTACATATTTTACATAACATTATAGCAAATCAAATTACAAACAACGTTTGACAAAACATCGTAAGCGACAAAACCTAAATTTTACAGGAGAGATTTTTTTTTGTGTGGGAGCTTTATTTTTAAAGTTGTTTATCTGAAAACTGGTGAGGCATTATTTTATTAATGTAGAATTCAAATATTTAAGTTAGATCGAATCCAATCTAAAATTTTCATTAAATTTTGTGGCATACGATATTTTATAAGAACATGTTAAAATAGTCTTGTCGCTTAAGTTACATTTACGTTACTTTGTGGAATATAGATTTGATGATTACTTTTGTCAAAACATTGTTAGCGACATTTTTTTTGTTTACTTTTATTATTAAATAAAAAATAATTACAAAAAAATTAATTTATATCACCAACGATATTTTGCCAAACAATGTTTGAAAATGAAAATCTACATTAACTTTCTTTGAAAAAAACGAACGATTTTTATTCACAAACCAGTATAGAGCCTGCACAAGGAGCCCGAACTTAATGTCTGTGCAAACCAACCTTTAGAGACATTTTTGACAAGATGACAAGCAGTTTCAAAAAGTTGACAGAGAATCTAACCTTAAAACAACACAATCAACAATGAAATACGTCAAACTGACAACTTTCAGAAAGTAAGGTTAGTGGTTAATAAAGGCATTTTTACATTTTGAAATCAACTGAATGACAGGTCGTTCGAAATTTTTTGGTCATCTAACCGTTACAAATTTGAGTTAAATTATTTGACGTTATAACAACATACAATTACTACAAAAAACACTTTTAACGAACCACACTACGTAAAAACAATTATAATTAGGATAACGATTAATAAAGCAATGATAAAAAGGAATTATAAGCTTTTGATCAAATAAAATATTGTTTTAAAACTTGGTAGCAATCACAATCCACATTGTGTATTGTGGTAGCAATGACCACGATGCAGGTATTCTCACGAATAAACTGTTTAGAGCGGGAATAACGCCTTGAGAGATCAAGGCGGGAGCACAATATTATCGTAAGCGACACAATGTTAAATCGCAAACGCCATGTCTCGGAGTTGCTTACGATTATTTGTCAGGAACATATAGGCGTTTACGTTATAAATCGGTAACAAATTGAAAAGAAGAGGCGCTTACAATAATAAAAATATGCAAACTGACCAATATTACATTCCAAAATTGGAATAACTATTATGTTAACATGTGCAGCTTATCGTAACTGACACTTTGATAAAATAAAAAGTAATTCAACAAAATTGTCGCTTACGATGTTTTGTCAAATAACCATCGATATGCATTTATTTTGACGGGCAGTGTATAATTAAGGTACCTTTTAAAATTATAATGCTTTGTTACCTTTTTTAATTTAATATATTTTTTAAATTAGTTTATCAATAATTTTGCGATACTATGAAGTTTGGGTACACTTTCTATACAATAAATTGAACAAATAGCCAAACAAAATTAAAAGTAAATATTGAATACGCGCCACTGCTTTGTTAAACTGAACTTGAAGGGCGGTACCATTACTTATTAAAACCTTTTCAGAGAAAAATTGTCACAAGGGGGTTTTTCCTTTCTTTTTTCCAAAACATCTTTTTTTGATGACTCCAAACCTTCTTAGGAGTTTCTTTCCGAGAGGATTCCTGTGGGACGAAGGCTTCCATGGCCTACTGCTGTCCCAGTGGGATCTCGACATGGAGTTGGACATAATAAGCCACTGGTTCGATTTGATGAACGCGGAAGGTTGGATTCCGAGGGAGCAAATATTGGGCGTGGAGTCGCTCGCCAAAGTTCCCGAACAGTTCGTCGTGCAGCGCAACACGAACGCCAACCCGCCCACCTTCTTCCTCACGCTGAGACACATCATCGAAAACTACGAAGAAAGTTTGACGGGTCAAAGGCTCGAGCTGCTCGAAAGGCTCTATCCAAGATTGCAGGTAAACAAGTCTCTAGACCGTTAAAGCACCATTTTGAATGTTAGAACACTCTTTAGAATGTTATAACACTCATTAGAATGTTAAAACTCATTTAGAACCGTCCAAGATTGCAAAAAATTAAAATAATTATTGGGATTTTAGATTGCGAAATTGATAAAAATAGGTAAAGTTTTTTCTTGTTTTAGGTGAGAAAATTCTTAGATTAGGTACGTCTATGGCACGCCGTTTTAACATTTAATTTAATTTAAAATGTTATTGCTTTAAAATTTTCCTAACTAAAAATTTTAGGTTTACATTTATAAATTTAAAATATTTTCAACAAGACACAATTTAGTAATAGTTCACTTCTTTATTAAACAATATTATTTCCAATCAATTTTTGCAAAAATTTTAAATTTATAATTTATTTGAGAAGAATTTTGTAAATCGTAAATAATTTTTTTATAAAATTATTTAGATTAAATTGGTAAAGTTAAATTTTTTAGTATTTAAAAATAGTGTTGAGACATTTAAAATAAAAACACGTATAAAACATTGTTTACCAAAATAGTTTATAAGTCCCAAAACAATTGATAATCAAATAATATAATAATAATAATAATAATAATAATAATATAATCAATAAATATAAAATAAAAATTGTGGTTTAAATTTCTAATTTCTAAATGATAGTCGATAAACAGATTTAAATTGATAAATTTTTAACACAAACATTTCCCATTGCAAATGTACAGTTCATTTTTTTTTATCTGGACTCGTGTTTTTTTGTTAGGTTGTTGGCTTATGCCAGGTTGACTTAGTATTTTTATTATTTAAAAATGGTACTTCTGCTAAAGAATTTAATTAAATACTTTGACACTGTCAAATTGACAATATTTATTATTGATAATTGATAATTGTCAATTATAAATAAAAAGATAATTATGCCAAAAATAATAGCAATGAATTCGAATGTAAAAGCTTTTAAGCTTTTAAGGGCTAGCCCTTTTGAGGGCAAAACTTCATTTTGATGAAATTATGCCAAATGCCCCAATGGAAGAGAAAGTACATCGCCTTATGGACATTTTGGAGTAAAAAAGTAACGAATTTGGTTTTATAAATATTACATCACACATTATTCACCATAAAAAAAATTTTAATTTCTTTTATATAAAGTCTAGAATATTTTCTCTTCTGGGCCGTAAACCAACCTACCAACCTATATTTAACTACTTTTTTTATATGATTTTACTAATCCAAGCACCACCAAAGCCAAATTAATTGCATTTTTAACTACGAATTTCGACAACTCAACTTGACAACTGCACAATAATTTATACATAACCACAATAAGATTTATACTATAATATAACCACAATCCACACAACAAGGTCTGTTCTATCTCGTACTAAAAATAGAAAAAAATCACTGCAACACTGCACATCATACGATGGCGGCCATTTTTGTTGTTTACAATTTTTGTGCTTTGGGTTTGTGCTCTGTCTATACAGATTAATAATCGTTTTAAACGTTGTGTTTCTCATAGTATGCCTTAAAAGAGTCCTTAAAGTGCTAAGAACAACCATTTTACTCTTCTATTGTAAAAAATAAACTTTATTCTATCAGAGCTGTCATAAAACTGTCAAATGTCAAATTTAAGGTTAAATTATAACCCACAAATTAACCTTCAAATTGTCATTTGACAACCCTGATAGAATAAGGTATATTTATTATAAAATATGAGTAAAATGGTTGTCCTTAGCACTTAAAGGCCTTATTTGAGGCTTACAAGTGCCTCTGTAAGAAACACCACGTTTAAAACAATTATTAAACAGCACAAACCCAAAGCTCAAGAATTGTAAACAACAAAAATGGCCGCCGTTAAACTCTGTGTAGTGTTGCAGTGATTTTTAGTATTTTTACCATGAGATAGAACAGACCTTGTTGTGTGGATTGTGAATATAACTATAGTTAAGCTTAGTTTGTTTTATTCAATGCGACCAACTTGACAACTGTATTTACCAACCAAAACCCTAAATTTGCAACGTTGCCGCAGTCCAGATAAAAAAAATGAACTTTAGTCGATAATTTTTAATTTACAAAGTGTAAACGCTGCTTTAGCTGACTGCATATGCTGCAGACTTCGCACTTTGTACGTTTCACCGACTATGGACTATGCTTAAAATTGACCACTCTAGAAGGAGACGCTGCTAAAGCTAAGTTATAAATTTTGTGTTAAAAATGTATCAATTCAAAAATTTTAAAACAAAAAGTTTTGGTTTGGATTTGTAAAGAGTCAATTAAATAATGGTCGATAAATTTTTAATCCAAAAATTACCACAAATTTAAAACTTACATTAAAATGATGATGAATTTTTGTATTAAAAATATATCATTTAAATGACTGTTTACAAATTTAAACCGAAAATAAAATATTTGAACTAAAATTTTTAAAAATTAATATGTCCGGACGGGACAAATCACAAAACTGTTTTTATAAATAAAAATTGTAGGTAATTTATTATATATTTTTGCATCAAAATTTTCATATATATTCTTCTTTTATTAGGCTATACATTAAATTTAAAAAAATGCAAGAAATACAGGGTGTTTCTTTTAACTTGAGACAGCTCAATATCTCGAGAAATACGCATTTCACGGAAAAATGTCTTAAATAAAAGGTTAATGTGACTAAAGGGGACATTATTTGGTGCTACCGCTAGCCACCCCCTACCCCTCCTTAAGGGTGAAACGGGGGGTAACTTTGGAAAGTCAAATGGAATGACCCGATTTTTTTCACAGAGTTTGGTAGTACATAAAAAAATAAATAACTTTTATTTAAAACTTTTTTCAATTTATCAACAGATGGCGCTGTAATTCAAAATTTAAGAAAAATGAGTTTCCTTGTAAAATGTATTATTTGAAACGTTTGAAAAACAAAAATTAACATTAACAACAATAGTCGGCTATGAAAACAATTTATAACAAATGTTGATTTAATTTTAATTTTTGTTTTTCAAACGTTTCAAATAATACATTTTACAAGGAAACCCCTTTTTCTTAAATTTTGAATTACAGCGCCATCTGTTGATAAATTGAAAAAAACTTTCAAATAAAAGTTATTCATTTTTTTATGTACTACCAAACTCTGTGAAAAAAATCGGGTCATTCCATTTGACTTTCCAAAGTTACCCCCCGTTTCACCCTTAAGGAGGGGTAGGGGGTGGCTAGCGGTAGCACCAAATAATGTCCCCTTTGGTCACATTAACCTTTTATTTAAGAAATTTTTCCGTGAAATGCGTATTTCTCGAGATATTGAGCTGTCTCAAGTTAAAAGAAACACCCTGTATATATATAGCATGATCCTAAGAATATTCTCACTGAAAGGTTTAAAAAACAAGTGTGCTATCAGGGTTATTAACTCTTCCAGAAGGTTGGAGTGCATAAAAATTATTTTAGCCAAATACTACAACCCCAATATTCCAAAAAAGATTTTTTTTATTTGGTTCATTTCTGTGAAAAATAAATATTTAGGTAAAATATGTAAAATCACATTATTTTAGCTAGTCAAATTTAATTAATTAAATTTGGGTCCATTAATGAGAAATTTCCCTTAAAAATAAAAATCTCTAGTTATTATATTTTACTTATTATTACTTACATTCTACTGCTTTTCTATATCCTAAAATCAAAAAAATACTCATATGGCAAACATAAAAAAATTACACTACCAAACAAACACATTTTAGGCATGGTTCTCGTGGTTCAACGCAACCCAAAAAGGCACTGCGCCCGGTTCTTACATCTGGAAAGGTCGCGACCCCTTGACGAAAAGGGAACTGAACCCGAAAACGCTGACATCCGGTCTGGACGACTTTCCCAGGGCCTCGCATCCGACCGAACACGAACGTCACATCGACTTGTACTGTTGGATCGCGATGGCCGCCGACACCATGTCGAAAATGTCGAAGTTGCTGAAACGCGATTTTTTCAAGTACGAGCAAACCGCCAACTACCTCAAAGACAATAAGTTGATGAGCCAGCTGCACTGGTCGGAGTACGCTCAGTCCTTTGCCGACTACGGTTTACATACCGACTCGGTTATACTGAAAAGGCCGAAACCTTTGCCGAGGTCCGAGCACCAGAACCTGGAGTTGGTCAGGGTGACGTTGAAAAACCCCGAGTACCGACTGGTGGACACGACGTTCGGTTACGTCAACATCTTCCCGTTCCTGATGCGGTTGGTAGAACCGGATTCGCATGTGCTGCGCAAAATTTTGACCGACATCCGCAACCCCGAACTGCTTTGGACGGAGTACGGGCTGCGCTCGCTCGCCCCCTCGTCCCCGCTGTACATGAAGCGGAACACCGAGCACGACCCCCCCTACTGGCGGGGCCAGGTCTGGATCAACGTCAACTACTTGGCGATCGCAGCCCTGAATCACTACGGGGAGGTGGAGGGCCCGTTCCGGAACCAGGCCCGCGAAATCTACAGGGAGCTGAGAGCGAACGTGATGGAGAATGTCGTGCGGCAGTACCGGAAGTCCGGTTACGTTTGGGAGCAGTACAACGACAAAACCGGGGAGGGGAGCGGATGCCGGCCGTTTACAGGGTGGACGGCTCTGGTGGTCAACATCATGGGGGAGAAATATTGAGGGATTAATTCATTTAATTGACATATCGTGGTGATAAATAAATTAATTGAATTATTTACAAATTGTGCTTTATTTTAACAAAACATACAACATTTATCGGTTTTCAGCAATAACCCTAGTAGCAATTCCGGAAAAGTCTTGGCCCAGCATGGGTCAAGATACTTTGGACAGATTTTTGCTCAAGAATTGTACAAGAATTGTTCCAAATTCTTGGCCAAGATTATTGGGCAAGACTTGAGCCAGACTGTGGCCAGAATTTGACCAGAAATCTGAGGCCATCTATTGCTAAACTTTGGGACTATCCTATAGAGTAGAGGTTCTCATTCTACAGTAGTATCATTCACAATAATGTATACTAGTCGAGAAGTGAGTTCTCTGTAGGAAATGAGTATAGTTTTTTGTTTATGTGAAAATACGAATAAGAGCTTATTGGATTCGTCTTCTAGCTGAGAAAAAAATTGATTTTTTGAAAAATAAAAATTGTTATTTGTAAAAATTAAAAAGAAAAAGTGTGTGTCAGCTCTGACGCATAACTAGAGTTTACTCTTTATGAACATGAAAGATTATAAAATACATTTTTATTTTTACGGGCACCTGGTTTTTTTTAACATAGAAAATTAAAAACTTTAACTTTTTCAAAATTTGTTTCGTTTTTAATTCTATTGTTTACCAGATTTATGGATAAAAACCGAATTTACTGGAAAGAAATCGTGGAAAATTAATGTTTTTAGTAACATTCTTAACTTTTGAAGTTCAACAAAATTTTGTATTGAGCAAAAATCTTGAATTGAAAGTTCCTATTTAACGTGTAATCGTGTAAAAATTCTTGGCCAAGAATCTGGTCAAATTCTGGTCACAGACTTGTCCAAGTCTGCCACCAGTCTGGATAAAGAATTTTGATCAAGAGTCTTGGTCAAGAATTGTCCAATTCTTTACAAAGTGCTTCTCCAAGAATCTTGACAAAGAATCCCCCTACTGGCGGGGCCAGGTCTGGATCAACGTCAACTACTTGGCGATCGGGGCCCTGAATCACTACGGGGAGGTGGAGGGCCCGTTCCGGAACCAGGCTAGCGAAATCTACAAGGAGCTGAGAGCGAACGTGATGGAGAATGTCGTGCGGCAGTACCGGAAGTCCGGTTACGTTTGGGAGCAGTACAACGACAAAACCGGGGAGGGGAGCGGATGCCGGCCGTTTACAGGGTGGACGGCTCTGGTGGTCAACATCATGGGGGAGAAATATTGAGTGATTAATTCTTTTAATTGACATATCGTGGTGATAAATAAATTAATTGAATTATTTACAAATTGTGCTTTATTTTAACAAAACATGCAACATTTATCGGTTTTCAGCAATAACCCTAGTAGCAATTCCGGAAAAGTCTTGGCTCAGCATGGGTCAAGATACTTTGCAGGGCCATATTACCCATTAGGCAGGAAAGGCAATTGCCTTAGGCGCCACGTAGAAATAGGCGCCTTGTCCCCAAGCAACTTAAAAAATAAAAATTGTTACCAAAATGTTTATTTTTTCCAAAAATAAAACAAATAAACAATATACAATTGTAATAACAGAATATTTTTTACTGTTTTTATTATTTTATAAAAATTTACCTTCCTTTGTAATAACGAGGTGTAAAGCCGACAAAAATCGTGCCGCAAATTCACTTCTGTATAAACATATCTTTAGCACTCTTTAAACTATTTCAAAACCCCCGTATGCTCCAAGCACACGGATTCCTCTTGCATCGGGTACCCGCTGTAATGTGCTGCTCACCCTAGCGGGTACGAGCTACTACAGGAAACTGCTGCCGGAAGGACTTGGGTGTTTTCGCGTTTATTCAAGAGTGGCACTTCTATGTGTTGTGTGTTTGGTGATAGCAGTCTGTGTTCGATAGTTAAGGTTGATTTAGCCTGGCTTTTAAATTAAATTACGTTACGTTAGATTACGTTACAAAAATGCTGGCTAAATCCACATTTAGATAGTGTTAATTTTTCTGTTTGTTTTAAGGTATTTCGGCCATTTCAAGCGCGCGAAACGCACGAATTACAAAACTGTTTTTATAAAAAAAATTGTAGCTAATTTATTATATATTATTTTTGCATCAAAATTGTCAAATATATTCTTCTATTATTAGGGTATACATTAAATAAAAAAAATCGCAAGAAATATTTTATAAAAGTAGAGATTATTTCAATAATTGACAGGGATGGACGGGACAAAAAAAAGATTTATCTTGTCCCATCCATCCCTGTCAATTATTGAAATTATCTCTACTTTTATAAAATATTTCTTGCGATTTTTTTTATTTAATGTATACCCTAATAATAGAAGAATATATTTGACAATTTTGATGCAAAAATAATATATAATAAATTAGCTACAATTTTTTTTATAAAAACAGTTTTGTGATTTGTCCCGTCCATCCGCTTGAAATGGCCGATTTCTGAAATTTTAATATTAAACTAATTACAATAAACCAGCAGTACATCTAACATACAATACAGAAAATTAAAGTTGATTTTATTTTTTTTAAATACTTACTAATGACATCTTGCAGAAAAAAGCAGTTATAAGTCCTAACACTTTTTATTTACATTATATTTGTTATTTTTGTATGTTATTTATGTTTTTTATGTATTTTTTTAATGATAAAAAGTATTCTAATTCATAGGGAATAATTAGGTTATAATGCTCGGGCGCCCTTAAGCTAACAGTTTGGGGTGGCTCTAATAAGCTTTTTTAAAATTTGCCCCGGGCCCCATAAGTATAGTATCTAGTTATAGGAGCCAAATTTTTAAGTGCCTACCCAGATAACATTCGTGAATGCACATTAAACTCACACCGGGCGCACGCCGTGAATCTTCAAAATTGAATGCATCGTGAATTCACCGTGAGTTCACAGATAACATTTGTAATGCACATTTAATTCACATAGGGCGCACGCCGTGAATCTTTAAAAATGAATTCATCGTGAATTCACTGTGAGTTCCCAGATAATATTCTTAATGCACATATAATTCATGCCGGGCGCACGGCCTGAATCTTTAAAAATAAATGCATTGTGAATCCACTGTGAGTTTCCAAATTACATTCCTGAATGCACATTAAACTCCTACCGGGCGCACGCCGTGAAAAATTGAATGCATCGTGAATTCACCGTGAGTTCACAGATAACATTTGTAATGCACATTTAATTCACATAGGGCGCACGCCGTGAATCTTTAAAAATTAATTAATCGTGAATCCACTGTGAGTTTCCAAATTACATTCGCAATGCACATTAAATTCACACCGGGCGCACGCCATGAATCTTTAAAATTAAGTGCATCGTAAATTCACCGTAAGTTCACAGATAAGGGGTCATCCATTAATTAGGCAATTTTAGCGATTTTTCGACTCCCCCTCCCCTTGGTGAGATGTCGTGAGATTTTGCCCGACCCCGTCCCCCCTCCCTTAATCCAGTGGCGGCTGGTGGATTTTAAGTATACCAATATCTCAGTTATTAGACATGGGACCCACACCAAATTTATAATAGTTTATATTGACATTAAATAAACAAGTTCGGCGCAAACAGAATTTAAATTGAAGTTTGCGAAAAAAAGTTAGTTTTTCCTGTCGCCTACCCTGCCTCCAGGCCCCCCTATTTGAGATAATTCAAATTAAAGTGGTGCAATTTATTATCTACTATAATTTATCGACAAATTTAAAATTTTATTTAAAAAATCCAAATATTACAGTTTTTATACCATTTTAAATATTTTTTTATTTTAATAAAATAAATAATAAAAATTTAAAATCGAATAAAATCTGTAATATTTGGATTTTTTGAATAAAATTTTAAATTTGTCGATAAATTATAGTAGATAATAAATTGCACCACTTTAATTTGAATGATCTCAAATAGGGGGGCCTGGAGGCAGGGTAGGCGACAGGAAAAACTAACTTTTTTTCGCAAACTTCAATTTAAATTCTGTTTGCGCCGAACTTGTTTATTTAATGTCAATATAAACTATTATAAATTTGGTGTGGGTCCCATGTCTAATAAGTGAGATATTGGTATACTTAAAATCCACCAGCCGCCACTGCCTTAATCTCACGTGAGATATTTTAAAATGCATTGTTTTAATGTAAATAAGTTAATCTGTAATTGATTCCATTAGATTTATTAAAAAAAAACAATTGTTATAATTGTTTACTTAATTTAACCCAGTTTTCTCGCCATTTTACACTGTTTCATTTTTTTCAAAAATTACGTGTCATTTGCCGAGACCACCCTCCCCCCACGTGAGATTGGGTGGGGTTTGGCTCGACCCCCTCCCCCCCTAAACACCTCACGTAATTAATGGATGCCCCCTAACATTTCTGCATAATTATGCACATTTAATTCACACCGGACGCACGCCGTGAATCTCCAAGATTTTATACAGATCTGTTAGCACGTTTAATTAAAGATCTTCAAATTTATTTTGATAGGTTAGCTATACCTCTGTTTGATAGGGAAGGTATACCTACCCTATCAAAATAAATTTGAAGACCGAATTCGAAATAAGAAAAAGAAAACATAACATTAAATGAATATTAATTAAAGATTTTTATTAAGTATTAAACTGAAAATAAAAAAGTACATTTTTTAATTAATATCAGTTATTAATATTTAATATACCTATAGGTAATAATAATTATATATAATAATTGCAAAACCAAATACGCGGGCACTCGTGCGCATGCGCCTATGGCCGTCACATTTCAACTAAATGCAGGGTTGCCGCTTGCAGGTATTTGACCCGAAAATCGCGTATTTCATCATGCTTGCAAGTAAAATATTGAAGCAGGTATTTTATAAATTTTACTTTTCAAAGAAATTTTCAGTAAATAATATTGTATAACTACTAACTAAACATAATTCTTTAATTCTATCCTTTTATTTTTCTCTTAATTTATTCAAAATTTAATTCACTTTTCCAAATTGAGCAAATGTACTAGAAATTTTTACTCGTGTGGG